CAACTATGCGACATACTTTTGTCTGTTTTGGTTTGATTTGTATGGAAAAAAAATATGTGGTAAACAAACCCAGAGCAGTGTACTCTGAGCTAGTCGACTATGCGACAAAAGAGCAGGTGACCACATTTGGCTTTGTCACAGGTAAACAAGGGTCTTGCAGGGGAATTTCAAGAAGTGGTAAGAACAAAAGGCAGGTTCAGGTTGGGGATGAGCCCTCTGCTCCTCCTTGAAGGCCACCCAGGTCATTTGTCCTTCTTCAGCCTGCCCGTTCCTCTGATGGAACACATATCCATTCCAGCTGCCCCTCCCACCCTCGCCTCCTCTAGTGTCTTCCAGCCTTTCTCTGTCCCCGTCTTTACTTTCACTAATAACAGCCCAGTTAGTACATCACCTTTTCCATACAAAACTGCCCCTTCTTAAATGTTCTCTTTGCTTCCTGTCGTCTTTTTTTTTGGGGGGGGGGTCATAATTCCATTTCTCTGGAGCAGCCAGAGGGAACTAAAATAAAAATCTGATTTTGTTACCCATCTGTTTAAAATTTTTCTCTCCCACCTTATTTCACTTCAAAGAAAATGCAATATACATTGTACTACGATTCAGCACTTTGCGCTCGGGGTCACGGCCTTTGGTACCTGGGATTGAACCCAAAAGCGCTTAACCACTGAGCCACATCCCCAGACATTTTTTGCATTTTATTTACAGGCAGGGTCTCGCTGAGTGGCTTAGGACCTCACTAAATTGCTGAGGCTGGTTTTGAACTCATGAGCTTTATATTTTTTTTTTATTAGCTGCTCAAGACAATACAATGATCTTGACATATCATACATTTGATTCAAATAGGGTATGAATTCTCATTTTTCCACGTGTACAGATTGCAGGATCACATTGGTTATGCATCCATGTGTATACATACAGCAATCCTAGTGTCAGTTGTATTCTGCTGTCCTCCCTATTCCCCCATCCCCCTCCCTCCCATCACTATTCTGTACCCATTCTACTGTGACACTTATCTCTCTCTGTCTCTCTCTTTTTTTTCTTCCCTTCCCCCTCACACCATCGTATATGTATTTTGTGAACCCATGAGGGTCTTCTTCCATCATCCTTGCAATTCTCCTTCTCCCTCCCTTTCCCTCCCTCCTCTTTTCCTTCTTTTGTAGTAATCTTCTTCTCATGCTCTTCCTTCCTACTCTGTTTTGAGTCACCTCCCTTATATCAGAGAAGACATTCGGCATTTGTTTTTTTAGGGATTGGCTAACTTCGTTTAGCATAATTTGCTCTAGTGCCATCCATTTCCCTGCAAATGCCATGATTTTGTTATTTTTTAATGCTGAATAATATTCCATTGTGTATAAATCCCACATTTTTAATCCACTCATCTGTTGAAGGGCATCTGGGTTGGTTCCACAGTGTAGCTATTGTGAATTGTGCTGCTATGAACACTGATGTAGCTGTGTCCCTATAGTAAGCTCTTTTTAGGTATTTTGGGTATAGTCCGAGAAGGGGAATAGCTGGGTCAAATGCTGGTTCCATTCCCAGCTTTGCAAGGAATCTCCATACTGCCCTCCAAATTGGCTGCACCAGTTTGCAGTCCCACCAGCAATGTACAAGTGTACCCTTTTCCCCACATCCTCGCCAGCACTTGTTGTTGTTTGACTTCATAATGGCTGCCAATCTTACTGGAGTGAGATGGTATCTTAGGGTGGTTTTGATTTGCATTTTTCTGACTGCTAGAGATGGTGAGCATTTTTCAAGGAACTGGTGAATGAATGGAAGGCCCCCCCCGGGAAAGGGCCGGTTAAAGCCCTTGGCCCATTTGTTGATTGGGTTATTTGGTTTTTTGTTGTTTAACTTTTTGAGTTCTTTGTATACTCTGGATATTAGGGCTCTATCTGAAGTGTGAGGGGTAATGATTTGTTCCCAGGATGTAGGCTCCCTATTTACCTCTCTTATTGTTTCTCTTGCTGAGAAAAAACTTTTTAGTTTGAGTAAGTCCCATTTCCTACCTCAGCCTCCAGAGCTACTGGAATAGAGGTGTGTGCCGCCCCACCCAGTTACCGCCTTTTTTCTTTTTTTTTTTTTTACCAGCCCTTAGCAGACTGTGTCCAGCTCTGCTGAACCATCAGCATCTCCCTCGTTCTGTGCCCTTCTCTAGGTCACTGCTTGTGTTTTCTCCTTCTGCCTCCAATGTCCTTCCTCCATCCAAGTCTGATGTATAGAGGACACCTACTGCGTTAGACCATTTTCTGTTGCTAATAACACAGTGGCAGCGACTAGGTAACTTTATAAGAAAAAGAGGTTTA